GAACACAATTGCGCGTCATAAATTTGAATTATTGTGCTTTTTGCATTTGACAACGACTTAAAAGCACTTGCAGCGATTTTGGCCAGTCAGCCAGTCGGCCACGAACATGTCCTTGAGACATGCACGAGTGCGAGCGAGTGGCAAAAGAGAGAGACACTGAGTTTGTGCTATAAAATGCGCCTTTTGTGCTCTGCTTGGTTACACAACGCCCACAAGGCACACGATTGGACACCGACAACAAGAGCATCAACGAAAGAAAGACAACGGTAATGATGGGCACAGACATTTTTAGTGGACATTTATTTAATGCTTCAAACGCATTGAAATTTTTCGCCCCAAGGCGACGCCTTTGTTGATGAAGTCGGTCAGCAGCTGCCAAGGCATTGTCCTCGGCTTTTACAGTGCATTAATAAAGTACTCGACGCTCTGCACGTTGCTTAAAGTGTCTAGCATTAGGCGTTTAGCTGGTCAACTTCCGTAAAATCCTGGCTTTAATTACCCACTCTGCATAAGAGTTGACGACAGATTTTTGTGGGCTGCTCAGACTGAAATTTGTCAAGCGAACAATTGCAGCTGCATCCTGTAGATACATTGTCAGCCAATGACAGCTTGGATAGCCACAAATTGATTAAGACTCCATTGATCTGATTGAAGAGTTTCGACTAGTTGATATCCTGCACTCAGCTTCGGGCTTCCGTAGCATGCATTTATATAGAGAAAAACAGACAAAATTATGAAATTATTTATACAAAATCCATTCTTAAATAATTCTTTATTGTTCAATTTGCATGTCATAAATATCCTATAAACTAGGGCTACAGGACAAAATATTTATATGAATCATTTTTTATTTATTTTAATTAAATTAAAATAAACTTCATCGGCTTGTAATCTTTCTGTCATAATCTGTGAATACTCTAAATAAAAATAGAGTGTATATCGATGCTTACAAATTTTTTGGACAGCAGCCAGTTATCCATAATTGGACCCAAAATTCGGAGTATGTTGAACATTCAATGATATTGAATGTTTATAAAAGATATCTCTAGAATTTGTTGTTTGTATTCAGTTTTAATTGGTAAATGGTATAATATTATATATTTGAAAAGACGTGCCAGGCTTGGACAGAGAAACCAATCTAAATGCTGTTAGCTCAACCAGTCCTGTTAACAATAAACAATTGACCGCATGACATGACAAGCAACGAATGTGCTTTCTACTCTGAAAACAGCCAGTGGCCAGCTATAAAAATATTAAACCCCCGAATATACTCACACACCCGCATCTAAACATACACCCAAGCTTTGTGTCTGTGTGCGAGAGTGTGTGATGCCTATGTTCAATTGCACAGCAATTTTATTTGTAGTTTTTCATTCGATGCGACATGTCTGCACAAATGTTGCATAGAAATTGCTTTGTGTGTTCAATTTTTGGCATAACATAAACAAACGAAAAATAAAACTACAACAATAGCAGTAGTAACAACAACAACAAAAGCAACAACAGACGGTCAAACAAATGAACATGAGCTGCGCACAAATTGTGCAGCTGTCAAAAGCAGAGGACAGCACTTGGGCAGAGAGAGGCGTGGCTGACGGCACAAAGCGCACACTTTTTATATGGTCCGAATAGAGTAACAAATACGAGAGATAGTTCCAGTTAAAAGTGATTGACTCGGAGTTATCCTATGTAATATTATATATATTATATATGAATTATATCTCTAGGCAGCTAAAGCAATTATTTATAACAATTAAAAAAATTTAATAATAAGTGTTTTTTTTTTAAGTTTTTATTAATTAGTTCTGGACCATAACTTGATAAACGTACACTTTCTTAGCCCTGCCTGATTCATTAATTTGTAAAGATCGAATATACCGTTTCCCATGCACTTCATGGTAACAGGGTATAAATACGTGTAGCGACAATAAGTGTGGTTTTAACAAGCTTGTCAATGCAATAGCCATCAGCGCTTGAGTAGAAAGCGCAGTGTGTGGACATAAATGGATTAAATATTAGATATTTGTTAAAACTATTTCAACCTGGCCATACACAGCAACAATATTAATATAAAACTGCCGCGATTTGCTTTGACACTCCACAGATAATAAACAAGAGTTCAAGCATTTTCTTTTTATAATGTTTCCATTTTGATATTTTGTATTGTAAAATAAAGTCGTATAACTTTAATGTTATTTTCCTTTAAAAAAGTAAATGCGAATAAATATTTAGCTATCTATCCTACAAATTTTTTAAATACTGCAATTATATTATTGTTTCTCTGGCAGAATATAGCTTTATAATAATAATTGAGAAGTTGATAAGTCTACATTTGTAAACATAAATAATCCTTATTATTAACCATTATATAGGTTTATTTAAATAATAATAATAAACAGACTCATGAGGAACAACTTAAATTAAATTTATATGAATATTAAAAAAACTACTTATTCTACTCGTAAGTCTTAAATGCAAATTTACAAGAGTCACTATATAAATAAATTTGGGAGATCGATTGGGTGAGACCTTCGCAATCTACTCCGCTTTTGGAAGAAGAAAAATAAAATTAAACAGAGAATACATTTTATTAATTAAGCTTTTGACGTATGCTACTTAAAGCGTAGCGATCATCAGTTCGTATTACAGGCGCGCCTAGAGGTATGCAATAAAAATTAATATTTGGCTTATTTAGAGAGGAAATGTCAGTAGTGTCTATATTAAATACAAGCAGCATTTGTTTTTTTCGCATGTGGTCAGCAGCAGCTTATAAAGCTCAGGGCGGCAATATAATGCGACGACATCTTCAATTCTCACTGAGCTCTCTCTTAACACATACTAAGCACAAAGTTCAGGGGTACTTACTACTTATATATGTACATACATGTGAGTGTGTGTGTGTGCGCGCTTGGAAAAGCGCCCCCCAACTACATAATTTCAGACTCGCTCAGTTGACCGCCTTGACAGTCGTTGTTGCTGTTGTTGTTGTTGTTATTGTTAGTATTGTTGATGTTATTATTGTTTCGGTCGTTGTGTTTGGGGCGCCCTGTGCTGCGTGCCAGGGCCACATTTAATTGTGCACCATGTTCAACAGGCCGTTGTACATGCGCATTAAATGTAATTAACTCATTATAAATGATAACGTGGCCGAAAGGAGTCGCGCCGGGGCTTGTCTTAAGCCGCTGCCAAGCTGAGCCAGCAGTAGCTGCAGTCGGGAGCACGACTTGTCATCACAGCTAATTTAGCCAGCCAGACGGCAGAACGTGTTATGTTTCCGCACAGTCACACGGGGGTCACGCAAAATGTGAAATTATTGCCGGAAAAGGACAATGTGACACGCGGGCTATTATTCAGGTTCAGGGGCACAAGCGGGACCAGGACCAGGACCAGGACCCAACTCTGACCAGGTATCTTGCTGAGCGCCATAAAAACGCTTTTCTGCGCTCAAGTGTGTGTTGATATTTGACCCTGTTTATTGCTGGCTTTGTTTTGTTTTGTTTCTGTTTCACTTTGTTTTATTTTATAGTTTTTCTCTCGCCTTGTTTTCACGCTCTCCTGGCCAGGTGGCGCTTCTGTTAATTATGTAACACGCTCAAGTGTTTTTTTTTTTGTTACGCACCTTGGCTGTTCGCTTTGGTGGAAAAACACATTTTTATCACACATTCGTTGCGTCGGTTTTCTGCTTAGTTGCTGCTTTGCCCGCTTTCCCGACGCCTAGTTGCGTAAACTAACATGCGAATTTAATTTAGATAAAGTGAAAATGTAGATTAGTGTAATTGCTGGAGCTGTCCACCACTTGGCTGGCAGCCAACAGCAAGCGGTCATTGTGGTTTTCTGGCATTGCTTTATTTCTTTAGTTTGGGTGTTTTATTTTCCCAAAAATGTCTGACCTTAACCATTTGTTTCATAATTAATTGAGCGAAAATATTCACGCTGTATTATAACGAGAAAGACAGGCTATCTTCGGCACGACAAAGATCTAATATCCTTACAGATCCAACCTTTTCATAATGCCCTGTATCTTTGCTCGTATCTAAGAAGCACAAGGAAAATAGTAATAGTGTTTTTGACTGCTAGGATCGAATTGATATAGCGGCTAATGTCGACTTGTTATCAAACCACATTGTCATTCATAGCCTTAAAGTAATCTTAACATTATATTTAGTAGGTAAATGATATATTATAATATATGATCTCTGCTACGATAAATGTATATAAATTTGCTTTACGACAACACCAAGAGCTATACATTTTGTTATATTTTAGGGCATCATATAGTCGATAGCAATCAAATGTCATGCATTACTGTGGGTCAAAGTTTTGGAATATCCTCAATTCAACTGAACTTATCTCCTGCCTCAAAGTTTTAATTAAATGATTAACGCATCAATTCTATTATTGGACTCATCATAATAACTGATATATTATAATTTACACAATTTTGCCATGTATTTTCTCAGAGCATAAGTCATATACTAAGTCAAATACTCAAAATTAATGTGTGGACTTAAACCACAAAATTTACATAATTTAAACTCATAAGAAACCATTTCTTTTATACAAGTAACTATTTTCATAGACTAAAAGAAGATTTCGCTTAGCTTTCTTCCCGTAGATCAGGGCATAATGCTGTTATTTAAATTGCAAGGCATTGACGGTGTCTCTTAAATTCACAATTCAATGCGTCCGATAGACAAGAGAACTGACAACATAATTTCAGCATATGACATTTTATCTAATGAGAAAAAAGTTTTCGTACAACTGAACTAAGCCAAAGCCAAGCATATTTGCTTTGTGCTTCTTTCTGATAGCCATACTTTAAGAGTGCGTGCATGTGTGCTTATGTGTGTGTGAGTGTGTGTGTGTTTGGCAGTCTATCTGCAACTGCCAGCTGACTGACCGAAGCAAACTGTCAGAAAGCATCCGAGAAACATTTGTCGTCAGGCTGACAAAGACAGAAATGAGCAAGGCAAATATAAAAATATGCATATGAAAAACGAATTTATTTTTTTCGCAAAAAGAAAATCAGCAAATTTTGCAAATGCTTTGACAACTCGTTGGATAGTGCGTCCTGCGCCCTAGCCCTCACCTTCGTCTTCCAGTATTTGCTTGAAGGAGAACGGCGCGAAGGCGTAACCAGCGCCCTCATAGAACTTGCTCATGAACTCGACCCTGTTTGAAAATTAAAAAATATTTAATTAATTAACTAAAAAATCTCTGGAATTCGAGAGTTACTTACCAGTGCAAGCGTAATGTGTGCAAAAAGGCCGAGAGACCCTCAATGAGCACAAGAATGCCCACGGTGAGCCCGGACCAGGCGCCAAAGGTGAAGAAAATGACTATGCAGCCTATATAGCTGTTAAATATGAAGCCCATGGAGAATATCATGTTCCACAGCACCTCAGAGAGCTCTGGAAAGGGAAGTAAGTTCAAATTTTTACAATAAATAAATTAGAAGACAGAATTTCGAGATAAACTTACGCGCATGGGCCAGGGACAAAGCCCATAGTCGCAAATAGGATGCGGTATGCGAGATTGTGCTCAGCACATACTCAATGGTGTGTATGGCCTGTTGGATAAATATTTCGCTCATGGGCTCATCATCTCCACCATGGCCATGTCCGCCGGCAGGCGCGGCTACTGTTTGATTGGGCGCTGGCAAATGCTTTGGACGCTTGGCCTTTATATACAACGGCTTGCCAAGCAGCATCCAGGGTATGCAAATTATGGCCACCACCACGAAGATCGTTTGCAGTAATTCTTGACCCTCAAACATATACTCCTTGCATCCTTCCAGCGGCTCCTGATTGCCAAAAAGCATCATGTTGATGAACAATATAAGAATGGAGGGTGCACAGCCCGGCGAGAGGGACTGATCCAAGCTGGAATCATTGTAAACAATCCATTTGTAGAACATCATGAATACCATGTAACCGAATAGGAGCAGCAGGAACAGGATTTGCGGCAGAAACTCCAGGAAAATACTGGCATATTTTTTATAGTGTATAAAATTCACAACCGACATGCAAACGCCGAAGATCATGTGCAGAACTCCAAAAACAATGGACAGCTTCATCTTAAAGGTGTTTAAAAATATGATTTTGTTATCCGCCAGCTGCCAAACAGGATCCATGCCCAGCGGGTAGGTTTTGAAATTACTGATGTTTGGCCGCATTGTCAAATACTCAATATTCTCATCGGTGACTGTGGACGTGTTATACTGATTCTGCCAGCCAGAGCCAAATATGTTCATAGACTTGGAGAACACGTCGTTGTAGATTAGACCCGTATATAGGGAGAATAGGCCCATCAGCAGTATGATATAGCGACCGCCGAAGAATATGTTGAATATCTCCTCTTTAATGGAAGCCAACTGCCGTTCCTTGATAATCAGCCAGGAGGCAAAGCCCACCAGTATAAGAGCATGACCCATGTCGCCGAACATCACCGCAAACAGAAATGGAAATGTGATGCATGTGTACAGTGCCGGATTCACCTCCCGGTAGGAGGCCATGCCATAGGAGTCGATAAGGTTTTGAAAGCCGCTGGTGAACTTGTTGGTGCGCGTAAAGGTGGGCGGCTGCTCGTTGGTAGAAATGACATTCATAAAGGCTGGTATGCTGCTCTCCGACAGCTTGGAGCCGCGTGACAGCGCCTGCTGCACTGTGGGCAGGTCGCGCACAGGCACCCAGCCCTCGCCAATTAAACACTTGCCAGTGACATCCGGATTGAAGTAGTTGAGTATGTGATAGATGGCTTTCATTTTTTTTACCATAACGGTCCAACGGGCCAAATGCTTGGCAGCGGAGCTCAGCACGCGATTGCGGTGATCGGCGCTCTGATTAAGCACCATTTTCAAGTCTTCGAGTCTTGTATTCACATCCCTAATCATATCGGCGCGCTCGGCAGCCGAACTGGGGCACGGATACACATCGGCATGGTATCCCGTACAGACTTTCTTCACGCGCTGCTTGAGCTGCTCGCCTTGAAAGAAGGCCACGAACACGGTCTTAAGTACCTGGCGACCCGTCTCCTCATCCTCACATAGGCCGCTTATGTCGTTGCGCCGCAGAAATATGTTGCCGCGCGAGATGCGCCACAGCATGCGCTCAAAGCTAAAGAAACGCTCCAGCTTTATGACACCGGCCACAAAGGCAAGCTGTCCGCGTTGAGCGCCCGCCTGAACTGCCGTGGGATCATCTCCTTCGGTCTGACGATTGGAGTCCAAGTTGATTACCTCCTGATCGGAGAAGAAGCCCTCGGTGTTCTCCAGCACGCTCTTCAGCTCTTGCATATGCCTGAAATTCGCATGCAGGCTGGATCCATTCGCTGACATTTCACGCAGCTCGTTCTCCGTCTTCTCTAGTTGTGCTTCCAGATCGATTATTTCGCGTGGATTGGGTGCAGAAGGCTCATGGTCGGGACCCAACTCTGGCATCTTGATGTCATCTTTGCGCAACTGGTTTTCTATGTAGCGCACTCGACGCTCCATGTCGTCGCAGCGTCGCACCTCGTTCACATATTTGCGCTGGAAGGAGTTGATCTGATCGTTGAGATCCCGAAACTGGACACAGCCACTCTCGCCCAGCTCGGCAATGGAGGCGTAGGCAGCCTCTGGCTGTATATATAACTGGCACAGGGCCATCTTCTCGCTGCGAAACATATCGCCCATGGTGGAGCCGTCGTGTTGTTGTTATCTGCGATAAGCGAAATGAGTTGCCGATTACTATCTGATTACTAGCTGATTATATGGAGTGTTATTTATTAGTATTGTTGGGGCTGACACTGGTCTATATATATAATATTACTAAGCTCTTCTCCAAAGGCCATAAATTAGTGCTTTTAAAGTGCTTAAATATCTTAATCTAACTAGTTTTATTAAATTTGTAAGCAATTAAATCATTTTGAAATTAATTCCCTGTACACATCAAATCGATAGATAATAAAGTACACATATATCATTTAGATTGTGTATATTTAGTGTATATTCTTGATTTTTTGAGTCTATAAAGGCAATTGAGTTATGTATACTGCAAATTATATATATTAACTTAATTTCTGTTTATTTTCTTATTTAATCCTATTGATCGTATCATAGAACAAAAACTATTATAGATTTAAGGAAATTCAATCGAACCGAATAATTGACAATCTATTGTATAAAACAATAATAGCAGATCTTGTCTCTTGAAATTAGTAAGCATATTCTTGATAAATTTCGGCAGTAAGGCAAATAAATAATATAAAAATGAAAAGCACTTGGCCCGGGCATAGTTGGGTAATTCCAGTCGAGTTCTGCTGACCATATAATTTGTATTTATAATTTTTTTAAATGCTTAACTACTTATTTTATTTTTCATATTATATTCTCCCTATTTATATTTAATTTAATTTAAATATATTCATTTAGCTTGTTTCTCTTAATACATTTACTGAAATATACTCAATGACTTTTTAATTAAATGATATTTTTGTCTTTTTGCTGATTATTGATTCTCTATTTTTATAACAATTAATCTAAAAAAAGCCCATTAAATGAAAAGGAATAAGGGTTTATTGGGTCTTTAAGATAAATGCCAGCAAGAATTTTAATTACAAGATTACTTTAATAGTTTTTGATTTGTCAGAATGTTTCACAATTCAATCTAAGCTCATGTGACGTGCATTGTATATGGCTCCCAATCTCAATGCAATGTCCCAATCAATCACCAACTACCAATTGTACGTGTATGCGGGAATGTATGTAGGCAGGTATATATGTGCGTAAATACGTTAAACTGAACTATTTGTGTACATACATCGCCCAGATTAGATAGCACGGCTGGAGCTGATACCGCACTCGTTTCGCTTTTAGCTTTTCGCTTATCTGAAGTGGCAGCGGGGGTCGGGCTAATAATTTGAAATTATTAACAATTACCGAGCAATCAGTTGGCTTATATATAAGCCAGAGGTTGTACCTTATACTAGTATTAAGACTTTGCATGGGCCGCACTGACAAGTGGCAGGTGGACGGGCAGGACACGGACAGACTCTGCGGCACTGCCCAGATGAATAATGGCGCTGCTTGATAGCCGTTTTGGTATTCCAGATTATACATATTTATGGCAGTCTAACTCAGTGGCCTGCTGTGATTTTGTCTCGCATGTCTGGCAATAAATTTGATTGATTCAGCCAATTTGGCCTGCTGTCTGATAAGCAGCCGCTGTCTGTGCCCGGTTTGATAATTGCCTCTGATTGCCATCGGTTTGCTCAAGCATTAAAGAGCCTTGCGGAGACTTGAAGTTTATAATTTATCACAAAAGGAAGTCAAAAAGTGTTGCGCATGATAATACGCTAGCTCAAGTACTTTATCAATACCAATAAATTGTATAAATTGGTTTTTACCCAATTTAAAAAATTAACATTTTTAGAGCACTTTGACTGCTTTAAGCTAGAAATCAAATTCGGTTAATTAAATTGATTTTCAAGTATGTAGTTTTTTTTTTCCTTGAAAAAATAACATTAATACTTATCAATTATATGCTAAAAAACAAAAAAAGAAAAAATTAATTAAAATAATAAATTAATAGATGGCATGTAGTCTGGCGAAAGATAGAGGAAGAATCTTTTTGTTGAAAATATTTTTAAAAGTTTTTAATGCATGAAATGTCTCTATAAAACTCTACAAATATTTAATTATTATATATTTTAGGAAATATATTAAAAAAAAAGCAATTAGGCTTTAATTTTTGTATATTTTTGCATTAAATAGGAATTTAAGAAAATAAATAAATAAATAAAATGAAGCGTTTCTTGTATTTAAAAGGGGCCAAAAAGTTTCTGCACTTTAAATTCGTGGAACTAATTCATAGTTTATGTGGATTTTTTACATTGCATATGTCTGCGGCCCTGAGTTGTAAATCAAAACTAATTTACAAGCCCATCTGACATTTTGCATAGCCCCAAGTCTGCGCACTTAAATGTTATTTAAAGTTGCCCATAAATCGTTTAGCATCGGAAACAGCACAATAACCTCTAGCTGGCAGTCCTTAGGCTGATATCCAATAAATATTTACAACACAATATATTTGGGCCTGAATGTGGGCCATAGTTACGACTGGCCCACGGTGCGGCATGTTCTAGCTGAGTCAACGCTGTGTTGAGCTCATTAAGAAATCCGTTTGCTGCCCGTAAAAATATTATCGGTAACGTAATAATTTGCACAACAATTTATGCGCTCGGGTGTGTGTGTGTGCATGTGTGAGGCCTTGTTTCACATGATCCATCACGTGCTCTGACGTCACGCGCAGGAGTGCGTGTGTGCGCTTGTGTGTATATGTGTGTATTAATAGTTTAGCATTTGCTTTCGGGCAAATCGAACTAGACGTTTAACGGGCGGGCAATTATCAAAAATCAATTAAGATACGTTATCGCAAAACATGTCGCTATTAAGATTAGCGTAATTGTCTTGAATATGGCTTTGAATAATTGCGCCTTACAGTCGGCCGAGAGTCCTGCGTGTGCCCGGACTGAGGAATGGGGCCACCCGGTTGGCTACTCTAATTGCTTTGTGGGTGGTTGTTTATTTACAGACAGCTCACAGCATTATTTTTATATCGCTGCTGAGGATTACAACTTTGTTTACTGCTCAAAATTGTTTTGTTGGGAGTGCGTTTATGGTTTGGATTTATGATTGTTAGACTTTTATGAAATACTTTGTGCAATTAGTGAAATAATTTGCTTTGTTTTTAATGTATTTGCTTTTGCCGAGCAAACAATAGCGTAAAAAAGTTATAGGCAGCCATTAAAGTTTTGCATATAAGTATTTTTGCGAGTACATATTTTTTTAATATTTCAATGAAATGTATTTTTTCCTGGCTGCAGGATGTTTCTTAGTTTTTAGGCAAATAATATGATAATTGATATAAAAATATAAAGATTTAAATTAAGTGCTATTCAGCTTGTTAATACTTTTTTTTTAGAAATTGAGCAGAGAGTAGTCAGGAGTACTTTAAAAATTAACTTTTAGATCCATACCAAATTTTATGTCTTGAAGTGGGAAAGGCAAATATTTCAATTCGATCGGATATATAACTTTGCGAAACATAAATTTGCACAAATTGTGCATGCTTCTTTTATACGATGATGCGAGAGTATTTTCACTTCAGTATACAAAGTTTTCTTTTCAGTTCCGTATTATTCTTTCATTGTTTTAGATATTGGATAAACCTAAGCACAATGTTTAATTTGTGGCATGTTTACGGCTTATCTGGGAGCAATTTTGATAACCTCACATACTCGACTCAACCCGTAACTGAGCACTGATAAAGTTGGTTAGCTTAAAGAAGCAAAGACTTAACTGCAGCATAATAATAAGATTTGAACTTAGTTCAGGCACTGGGTAAAAACTTTTCACAACTCTTTAATTAAATATTATTGAGAGCATATTTGCACCATTTGTGAGCGCTTACATTGCAGATCGGTAATCAAATTATTTCTTTTTGTGGCTGTTTTCCGAGTAATTCTTCGCGACCAGCCAGACCAACGGCGCTCTGTGTACTGTTCGATCACCTTAGCACCCATAGACCTGGTAGCTTTTGCCAATTAAACTACAGTTAATCTACACTTGGCACACACAAATACAAAAACACGAGTACGCACATGCACAAGCACACACGCGTAATTGGAGGCCGAGCAGAATAATCTGTGCGCCTTTTTTATCTCGGCGCAACAACGCAAACACTTTGCGATTTCTGTTTGTGATTGCGTTGCCAAACAAGCGGACGACGCCTTTGATAGACGCGTTGTGTCGTGTCAAGGTGCGCAGAGAGGGGTTGAGTGGGGGAGTGCTTGGATGGGGTTGGGGGCTTATCAAAAATTTCACGGTGCGCCTGGCCAAGTTAATACGGCAATCGGCGAGCAGCTAAACAGCTGAACACACAACAACAACAACACCTCAGCTGGCTACCAGCCATATCAATTGGATCAATGATTGAGCATTAGCACGAGTTGTTCAATTTCTCAATTGCAGTGCCCCCATATATACTAAAAAGTTCTTGACTGACTTTAGCATGTGACGTCCATCAACGGCGAATTGTGACATCTTTGAGTTGCGTTCTGCTGAAAAGAGACAGAGAGAGAGAGAGAGAGAGAGAGAGAGAGAGAGAGAGAGAGAGAGAGAGGGAGAGAGAGAGAGAGAGAGAGAGAGAGAGAGAGAGAGAGAGAGAGAGAGAGAGAGAGAGAGAGAGAGAGAGAGAGAGAGAGATACTTTATATTATATCATCGATCATTTCAACACGATGTATTTAGATGGTTTATAAATATATTGCAGCTGCTGTCGTTAAAGACTATGCAAAGTCTTTGGGTGCAACTCTTATATTAAGAATGTGTAAGGTTATATTTTATACAGGTTATTTTGTTTATTTGTCACATGACTTTTGTACATTCTTACTCTTTCTTCAAATGTTAAGATGTTTTTCATAGTATATTTTTAATAATATTTAAAAACTGCCTACTTTCCAATGGCGTTAGCTGCCACTGACTGACCACACCTAATGTATGACAAACGTGTGCGCTTTATATTGTATAAATAAGATAAATAAATAATCAGCAAATTCGATATCAAATTGAGCTTATCTACAGCTGACCTCGATTATTCAATACCATGGATTATTCATGCTTTATGACGATTAACTTATCTGTAAATGCTTTTTGTGATACATTTCTATATGTTGAAAGTAATCGCTAATTAGACCGAGTAAACATGCAATGAAACACATGACTATTTTCAGTTTGGTAATCGGAAAAATTTATGTTATTCACAAAACACTTTATTTTAATGACCAGAAATCGATTTAAGGGATTCAAGACTTACTAAATATATAATAATATAATAAAATAATAACAAAACAAACTTATTCGGTTATTTTTTATAAACCTTACTTACTTTAGACTTTTTAATTTTTCATCAAGCACTTGCTTTAATATAACCTTGAAATAGTGCTGAATTGCTACGATTTTCAGTAATTTGAATAAGTAAAGTTTCCTTCTAGGAAACATAAAGGCAACACATAAAGGTAACACATATTATTATTAAGAATTACAAGACATTTACGATCCCTACGATTACAGCACGCTGTATGGACTTAGGTTGCTTTGTGCAACTCGGTAGCCGGTTACACCTTGGCTTACCTGCTGATTGTGCATTAAGTAGATTGTGTAATGTTTGAGCATTACCATTAGAATTTGTGCATGAGACCTGCGGCAGCATGATGTCTATTCAATTGTTTTGCTCGAGCCTCAAGTGTTTTGTTTATCAGCGATTCTCTAGAGGCATTCTGGAGTATGCCGCTGCTTATCACGAGTCACGTGCATTTGTCATCATGGCCCTACCTATAACTATGTACACATCTATGTATATACTCTTGGTGAATCATATGGTAAAGTTTGGAAATTTCAATGTGATCATAAATTTTACAGGCAGCGCAATGAAAAGACACAGCACTTGCCCGAATTTTGTTGCCAGCTCATGATTGGTTTATTGCAACAATTAAAAAACAAATAAACAAAAAGTACACACACGCCCGAACCGATATCTCTCTACTGACCAATACTCTGTTGACAGTACACAAGTTTTCAAGAAATGTTTAACTGACTTAAACTGTAGCTGGCTCAGTTTTTGTCAAACTAAAACCTCAACTAATCAATTTCAAAGTGTTTAATATATTTTATGGCTGATCTTCAGTTATCTAAGAAAATTAATTTAAATACTGCTTATTTCGTAGTTTGCGAGGACACGAGCGGAAATAGGCGTGCAAAAGTCTATTCATCCGCTGCCTCACGCAGCGGACAGCAGCTTATATGTCCACTTTTTAGTCTCTCGAACTTCTCAATATGCTCCAAATTCCACCAGGTACAGGGTATACAAAAAAAAAAGCGCAATTTCTGGAACACACTCTTTGACGTCAGCAATTGAATCCGCGCCAGGAGTTGCATTTTTGTAGGAGTTAATAGGAAATTTATCGGGTGGCCTGTTTAATGGAATTAACTGCGCACGGAGCGCATTTTTGCTGCTGCCTGGCTATTAGCGTATTATCTGCTCTAAGCTGACGCAGTTGCGGAGGAGTTTTCGCGTGTGTGTATGTGTATGGCTTCGGTTGAACAGCCACTTGACTGATAAGCCTGCGCCTGATAACATGCGAGTATATCACGAGCTTTTCGCTCGCTTCAGCCATTAAAATTTTCCAGTTAATGAGCTTAAGCGCCGTATATTATGCTAACTAAATGAGTTGACTGATATTTTTCGCACACGTGTGTGCTTCGAGTGAGTGTGTGTGTTTGTGTGAGTGGCCGCAAATAAATTGCATGCAACTTTTTGGCACATAAAACTGCAGCTTGCCTCAGACCCCGGCGCTGACTCTGGCTGGCTGCTAATGCCACATAATGAAGCTGATAATGGTCAACAACTGGAGTGTAGAACGGGGACACGGCCAAAATTGGCTGCCGCAGTTGAAGATGTGCAAGGAGTGCACCCAGCTCTGGCCAGGCCAGCCCGGCCACGTTCAACTTTTCGTTGGCGCACATTAAATGTTGCCGCATCCGTGTGGCAGGGGCAGACTGGCAAACAGACGGCCAGCTAATGTGCGTCACCGTTTCGTCTGTTTTTCTGTTTTTCGGCCAACAACAATTGCAACAGCCACGGCAACAGGAACAACAGCTGCTGCAGCATTGAAAGCTATGGCGGCGTATCCATTTTGTCTGGTCGTGGCCAATAACTAAGTTGTTGCGTGGCTGTGTGGATTAGTCTAATGCCAATATGTGTAGCTACCAAATGCTCGGAGAGGGGGAGCGGCGGCGGGCGTAAGTGCTTTTTAGTGGTGTGCAGCCAATCGGATTTTGATGTGCTTAGCGTGCAAAAGTGCAGCATTTTGTGTGTTGTCTGCTCTTCTTGGCCATTCGTTCTAGCTGGTCACTGGACATAGAGCTTCTGTTGCCAATGGTTCTGACAATAAAATTTCATTATCGTTTCCTCTGACTGGTTATGCACTCTATTATGAAATTGTACAATTTACCTAGGAGCTTTTTATTATTAGTGAGCTATTTACCCTGTGCTCATAAATGTTGATAAAACAAGGTTATCATAAACTTCTCTTAGTCGGATCATGTCCGTCTGGCAATGCGTATTTTTATTGTATTCAGATCTCAAGACGCTTCGAGCTAAAGATAATAAATAAAATTGATATAATATTGAACACAGTTGTATATTTGGTCATATAAGACCCAATGCTAAGAGGAAATATTCAATTTATTATGAAGCAATTATATATTTTAATGTTTGTGCATGTGTACTTACTGGATATATTAATTTAACTTCCCCTAGTTGCCCGTTTAAGAAAACTGTGTGAACTGTTTCGAATGGATAAACTGCTAAACAAATTATTTATATTGCTCAAAGACGTAAAACCTTTTCATTTCACTTTTAATTTATTGAATATGCACAATTGCCAATAAAGTCAAGCAACTGGGGATAAAGCTTATGCAATCATTTGAACTAAGTGCTGCTATTCAACATGCTTTATAACAACTCAAAAGAATATTGCTTTTTTCTTTGACCACCTGAACCCCCTAACCCAACGCGAACTCTGTAAGTTCACGTTGCTAATGCGCTTTATAGCTCATAAAATAAAAACGAATGTTTTATAAATAACAATGGGCAAATGAAATTAAAGAAAAGTTGGCGTGCTCCGGGCAACAAACAAAAAGTACAAAAAATAATGCTCAACTAAAAAAAAAAGTCACCCACTCGGGTGCTGCTCAAAAATTACAGCCCAAAAGTGTGCTACGTAAAATTTAACATTAACAGCAGCAGCAGCAACAACAACAACAACAACAACAACGAAGTCATTTCGTATTTATTGTATTACCTTTGTCAGCATATCTAACATTTTTGGTTATTGTTGTAGTTGCCGTTGTTTTTGTTGTCGTTGTTATTTTTTTGTGATGTTTAATGCTTACTTATTATTTTTTGTTGTCGGCTTTACTGTTATAGCCCTGCTGTCATGGCATGCGCACATTGTTTTTCGTTACCATTCAAGATGAAAAATCCAATTTTCTCCCTTAAGCGTTTCTGTAATGCGACCTCAAACCCAAGCTCTGTTACTGCCGACCCGCCGCATTCACAAAAAAAAGGGTTCACGAAGTGCATAATACTATGTTGTTGTAGTTGTTGTTGTTGTTATTTTTCGTTATTTCCCCTTTTTGCTTCGCACTATTTTCATAATTTCGACTATGTGCTCAGGGAAAGTGTGTAAAATATTGTAAAAGCGCGCGCTAATATGCGACGCCTCGTGCAAAATGATTTGTGGAATTCGCTGATGGCACACTTTGGAATTTGTCTGTAGCTTTAAACTTATTTATTAATAAATAGTTTTTAAAATTTGTAGCTGACTGAAAATTCCAAATAATAATCACTGGAGATACATCATCAACATTAAAATTACTCAGTAAGTCTTAAGTTTACTTTAGATAATTAAGTATAAT